AGCACCTGCCTACGAGTGGGCTCTGGAGGTCTCTGCCCCCATGGCCCTGCTCAGGGAAATTGGAGCATGCATAAGAACTACAAGGCATAACAGACTTAGTTTTGAAGGCCACTTTGGAGTTATGTCAGGAGACAGACCCTGGAGAAGTCTGTAGACCAGGGTGCAGAGTCAGAGTTGGAGCCCGAGGGAGAGAGCTAGATGCTGGGAACCACATGGAAAATAAATAGAGGCAGAACACTGGGACCTACCACAAGGGGCCCCAGGCCCTGCTTTTCCCAAGAGCCCCCATGGCCTTGTATTTCCAGCAGAGAGGACGCCCTCCTGGGTGGCCTGCATTCACAGTGGCTTGCTGTAAACACATGGTCACCTAAGTTTTGGGTAGTTTTGCTCCTCTTTTGTGCTTTCTCATATTTGTTATCTCGATTTTCCTTTTCAGAAAGCAAGATAATTCATGCAGACAACTCATTTTTGATGTGAGGTCTTAGAGGAAATTTTTTGGAGGTGCTGGAGAGGTGGTTCCGCTGTTAGGGTGCGTACTGTGCACCGAGTCTGACCCTTAGCACCAACATCAGAAGCTGGGCATCTTGGCCCAGCACAGGGGAGGAAGACACAGGCTGCTCTCTGGCCAGGCAGCTTAGCGGAATCAAAGGACCCCAGGTCCCAATGAGAGACATCTCAAAAGATACAGCAGGCATTTCTCAAGGGATAGTAGCTTAGGTTGTCTTCCAGCCTCCACATTTACCAGTACACCTCTGTACACACTTATATATGTACCTCACACGTGAGAACACACACACACACATACACACACACACACCCCAAATGTAAAAAAAGAGATCCCCCAAAAGTCAAGGCAATAGGCCTCAGCGGAACCTTTCCCAAAGCTCCTAGATTCCTCTGCTGCAGCTGTTCCACGTGAGTGATTCCTGTCTATTTTCTACTCCAGCTTCTCTACTTGGGATCCCATGCCCGAGCCCCACAGCTTCTCAGACCCTGCCCTGTCTCCCTGGCATCCATCCAGCAAGAGGCTTCCCAAACACGCACTGTGAAGAAGAGGTTTGGAGCCATCTCTGCTGGGCTGCGGAATGTTAGCGTCATGGGGCATGCTATTTCTTCCTGGTGGAAACCCTAGGAATGCATTGCCTTAGTTTCCCTTTGCCCACCAACTCCCTCCCCAACCCCGAGCCTGCTTTTGACCTTCCAGATGGGTCAGTGCTCTGCCTGTCCTGCCTAGCCTGGGATCTTGGCCCACAAGATGACCGATTATAATAGCCACAGGATTAACATAGCAGGCATTGTCTTTCTCTGACTATAGGGTGGGTATTATGTGTTCATCAACAGCCCTAAAAATACCCGGTAAACAGGTGCAGCCCTGCAGTCCTGGTCTCCCGGGGTCATTTAGCTTCTGACTGACATGAAGATTATGCAGGGAACGACTGTTAGTCTCCCTGGGTTCGAGAAATGGAGGTGGGATACCATTTGGAACCTGGTCAATGGGGAGTCCTTATAGCCCACTTGGAGAAGTACATTGAATGTCTGCAGATCCTCAGGCTTTCACGTGCACGAAGGGGACCCTGCTGCCACTGTGACTCAGCTGGGCCCCAGAAACACACCACCAAAACCCTGCAGGCAGCGTCCTAGCTCACTGGCACCAGAGTCACAAACAATTAGGTTTGGGGCCTTTTGAGGTTTTCGGAGGAGCATGGGCTGGCGCTGCGTGTTCACAGCGGAAACACAGAGGAAAATGTCAGTCTGCTGGTTCCTGCCCTAGTCCTTCATGGTTCCTCTGGCCTGCCAGGGCCCAGATGTCCTTCATCCTGCTTTCTGTTCCCATCTCTGCTCAGCTCCACATCTGGTCTGGTCTGGTCTTTCACTCTCTACCTTTCCTCAGATGAGTGCTGGTTCCCCCCAGTCAGAGGCTGTGTTTATGCAGGGTGTGTGTGCACTCCTATGTGTGCCCTATGGTATACCCCGCAGCACGTATCTGCCCTGTGAGGTGTGTATGGTGGGAGGGGGTGGGAAGGAGGGGCAGCTGGAGGGGCAGTGGCTGTTCTATTTTTACTGGCCAGTTGCCGGAGGCCACAGTTTTCAAAGCCTGCCCTCAGCTCTGCCCCCACAGCCTGCAGTGTGTGGTGAGGCTCAGGTCAGTCTTACTCCACGAGGATTAAACTAGGTAAGTGTCTATAGCCCTGACTGTGAACCCGGGCAAGCCAGGATAGAGAGCTGGGGCTTTATTTAAAAGGGAAAATAAGGTTTGGGGGATGGAAGATGTTTCTTGTTTGGGTAAGTAGGCTTGTCTCTAATACTCAAAGCCCTTTGTCTATAAAATGGCACCTCTCCTGTAAAATGCTGTGTGTGTGTGGGGGGGGGGGGGTGAAACCTGGAAGGACAGAACTGTCCCACATGTTCCTCAGGAGCCCAAGGCAGCACCTGGTGGATTATGCTCCCAGGAGGGACTGCAGCCAGTGACTTGAAGGACAGTGCTCCTGGTGGGAGGGGAGGCACTGGGGAGCAGTGACAGCGATAAATGCCTGCAGTGGCAGGACAAGAAGACGGCTGGCATGCAGGACTCTAAGGAGACAGCTCCAGAGGCCGTGCTGACCGAAGAGATCATGTTATTTCTTTGTCCTTTGTCTCTGACAGATGCTTTTAGCTCACTTTACCTGTCTCATCTGTACAGGGAACAAGCAGGTCAAATCAGAATGCCAGTTCTCTCCACTGCTTCTGGCTCTGAGTTATAGAAGGAATTGTGGGGCGTCCTCTCATGTGGTAGGCAGATGGCAGCATTTGGGGTGAGAGCACAAGAGCCTATGAGCACATAAGCTAGGACAATATCTACACTGTGATGTCGGGAGGAGTGTGTGTGTGTGCGCTAAAGAAAGCCACTACCCCAAATTTGGAAGTCATAAACCCAAAGAAGTTCAAACCCTGGACTTCCTGGCCACAAACTTGGTGATCCAGCTTGTTAACACCCTGTTCAGGAGCATGGGGTGCCCTTGAACTGAGAGCCAAGGTCAGGGGTGGGAGCAAGCGGAGCTTTAGTCTACTTAGATGTTTGTGTTCCTATCAGGTGTGTCAAGAGGCCAGTTTCTTTCTATATGCTGTCTCTTACACAGGTTTACACACTCACACACATTCAGCCTTGGCGTGGAAAGCTGAGAGCCTTTTCCATATCAAGGGCCTCGGGGCCAGGAAGGTGAGCACTGAGTCTGGCCCCACAGACTGCTCCCTTCCCTCTACTTCTGTGTTTTCTGTTATCTCCTCATTTTCCACTCGCGGGACAGATGGAATCCGGCCCTCCAGCCTCTCTGCTATCTACATCCTGGCTTCTAATCAGGTTCCTGCTTGTCTTCTGAGCCTGTCAGTGTGGGTGTCAGAGCACGGGTCAGGGCCTCACGCTTAATGTGGGACCCCTGGGCCTGGCATTTGTCAGCGAGGCAGTTGGGGACTGCCTGGAACTTGGCAGGAGGCCCAGGTTGGCCCCAGCAGTGGGCCCCACACTGGCGACAGTGGGCTCTCTAAGGGATGGAAGGAGGACAGGCATGGCTAAATGCTCACCAGGGTGAAGCACATCCCAGGGAGACAGATGTGAGACCTACTCGGCTGTGCCTTGCATTCCCAGAGGCCAGACAAACGTGGGTGGGGTGGGTCTTTGTCAGCCCATGTTTCTTTTTGGACTTCCCGGTGTCTTCAGAAGAGCAAAGCTCTTGACCAGCAGCTGTGCATGGAATCTAATTTCAGCTAAGCATCTTGGAAATGCGTGGATGGTTCCCACATCTCTTCCCCTGTGACCCCTGGGGACAGCTGAGACTCTGGGGTCACCTCCCACTTAACCTCACACTCTCCATGACTGAAGTTTAGGTGGAAGGCTCCCTAACAGGCTAGGATTCAGGAGAGGAGGGCCAAGCCTGGTCACTGGGCTCAGGGACATTCTTTACAGGCACAAGAAGGGTGGCTATGGAATGACATTACTGGTGGGCACCTTGCAAGGGCCCTGTAGTGCTCCAAACTAGGTTCATTAACCAAATCTAAATATGAACTCTGAACTCCATACCTGCCCCTCTATATACAGCACTCCTCCCACTCCCCACTGTCACAGGCCTCCTGATCCACCCTACACATTAGTTCTCAGCCTGGCTGCTCCCGCTTCCCTGAGCTTCCGTACAGTCATTTCCTCTACTCTCTGCCTATGCGCTCCAGGATGCTCTAAGTCAGGGCCCAGACAAGAGGTTGAATAAGGCCTGTAGCCTCTGCAGCCTTCAGAAGCCCGCCTTGGCCTGGGCCCAGAGACGCCTGTCAGCAGCTTCAGACTGCTCAGCAGCTGTGCTCTCTCAGAGGACGCCAGGCTCCTATGCCGACTCCGTTAGACAGGGTCGTCATGCCTTTAGTGATGGATCTTGCTTTGCTTCCAAGTGAGATGTGGTTTGAACAAAAGGTTCAAGGGCCAAATACTAAGAAGCCCAACACTTATCTAAGCTCCAATTTTGCCAAGAGGAAAACTGGCCAAGAAAGAGTGAAGACACACAAGAATTTTTTCCCTCCTGCCTTAACCTCTACTCAGGGCTTCTTGCCACCTACCCTTGGCACTCAGGAGTTAGGCCCAAAGGCACCCAGCGGCCAGCTGCACGCCAGTCTCTGTGCTCCTCTGCTCCTCCTGCACCTTCCACAGGTGACATCTGGATTCAGCTGCATGGTCAAGTCTCCCGCCATCAAGTCCCTTTCTTCCCTCCCAACCATGTTGTCTACGGATTCTGCTCTGTTTTGCACCAGAGTCAGCATATTTTTCTGGCAATAACCACAGGCAAATGTGTTAGGCTGTGCAGTCCTGGGAGGATTTTTGTCCTTAGGTTCTGTTTTGTCTTTGATTAAGTAGAACAGATGAGGTATCCTGCTGGAATCTGTCATGCTGACTATTTCCTGTTGTCTAACTCCCCACACCTACAAGGGGTTCACAGCTGAAGGTACGGTTTTGCCATTAATGACTCCTCTGTCCCCTCTAGGTGCCGCCTTGCTACCGCCATGCCAGAAGTGTAAGTTGTTCCCTCCCCGTGCAGGGTTCCTGGGAGGCATGTCCCCCTTCACCACTGACGTGGTGGAAAGCCTGGCTCCCTTCTCCCCCAGGCTAATTCCAGCAGATGCTCCTGAGATAAAGATGGACCTTAGTTTCTGGTCAGCATGCATTGCTTCCCTGAGGGGTCCAGGAACTCCCTCAGCTGAGCAGAGCTCACTCCCAGGTTGGCCTGTGCCTCAGAGCTGGCCTGTCAGTATCGATCAATTAACTGGACACACTAGGCTACCAGATCACATGGGCTTGAATGAGGCTTCATTCCAGGGAGAGAAGTTTTTCATTAACTGTGGCCCTCTGTCAAAGCTTACAAGGGCTCCCACTAGATCTCCTACAACTGTGAATGACCAACATCTCCCCAAAGGGAAGTCCAGTAGCCCAGAAGGTTGTTGGGTTTTTATATTCTTATTTACTGAAACCCTGAAGTGGTCCCCTGCCCGATGGCAGATGTCTTCCAAACATGTCATTGCTACCCGTACCCTCCTCTCCAACAAATGTGCTTGGTTCTGTTGTTGCTCACGTTGTGCTCTCTGTTCCCACCCCTCTATGCTCTGCTCTGTCCTCGGTCCTTCCTATGATGGATGCCTAAAGGGAGGTGAGTGATGCTGGGGTTTCTTAGTTCTTCAGCGTGATGAAGGTGGGGTGGGCCTGAAGAGAAGTCAGGGAGGGGTGGGTATGCCAGTGACTGAGAAACCTCCCAGGAGGAGAGAAACCACGAGTGAAGATTCTCTGTGATGCTGGGCTCCCAGGAGGAGAGAAATCACGAGTGAAGATTCTCTATGATGCTGGGCTCCCAGAATGCAGGGAGTTGCTGCTCCAGGGCACAGTGCCCCTCAGGCATAGCTTTGTACTGTTGCTGAGGGAAAGCTCTCCCTCAGCTTCTCTCAATGTCCCTGCAGCCCAGGGGGCACCATTCTGCCCACTGAAACGCTGATGCTGCACAAAGCCATGTCTGAAAGGTGAAGGTTGAGACTGAACATTGAGGAGGGAGTGGAGCTGTGGCCTTAGGTTCTCCTCTGGATTATGGTCACCCTGGTTCTGGACACTCTGTGGTGCAGATTTCCTCAGGCTGCTCAGAACACAGCGTGCATATCGCCCGGGGTGAGGATGGAAGGAACAGGCGATGCGCTGGCTGACTCAAGTGGAGAGGCAGCGTCACCGACTGAGGGAACACCAGGCCTGGATAGTCTCAGGAGAAGCAAATACACTATTTTCCAGTGTCCTATGAACCCTCAAGTTTCCAGAAGCTCCTGTTAAAGTGAGTCTCCAGGGACTGTCGGTTAGCTCAAGAGGTCATATACTCACTGAGCGGTGAGGAAACAAGACTGTGAAAGGTCTTTCGCCATGGTCTGTCTGGGTGGGTGAACCAGGGGCTATAATGGCTACAGCAACCGGCCCCTTCTCTCATTACCTGGAGTGTAGGCTTTCAAAGAGGAAAAGGTAAGCCACTGTGAGCAGATCAGAAGGTGTGTGCTCAGTGTGCTAAAGCTCATCCACAGCCTCCCCCAGCCACTCCCACAAAGCCTCATCACTTCTGCCTGACCTGACGTACGGCAGGGACAAACCTGTGCTCTCCCAGGGATCACGCCTGAAATAGACAGGCGCTCCATGGGAGCAGCAAGGAGAAACCCAGGAGTGACACGAGGACTCCCGAGCCTCATGGTCCCATTAGTCAGCAGTGAGGGTCTCTGTCACCTTCACCACACGGGGGACACTGCCACCAGGCTGGGACTTCAAAAATTCTTTTACATATGTTCTTCTGTGTAGCCCCTGACCTTCCACGATGGCCCTCAATACGTGAGCCTCCTGTTTTAGCCCCAAGAGTGCTGAGATTACACATATGCCCACCATGCCTGGCCTTGGCGGGGACTTCCAAAGCGTTCTTCAAACATATCTACCTAGCCATCAAGAATTTGCCTGTGCCGTTTTTTCCAGCACCCGGGGGTGGATCTCTGAATGTGAGGCAGCCTGGTCTACAGATCAAGTTCCAGGACAGCCAGGGCTACACAGAGAAACCCTGTCTTGAAAGAAAAAAAAAACAACCCAAAAACAAAAAAGCAAAACAAAACAAAACCCCAAACAAATCCCAAAACAAACAAAGAATTTGCTTGCTCATTTTGATTAGAAGACACATCAGTGTTTTTATATCTTAGAGAATTCTGTGGGTGATGGTGACTATAGGGTGGTTTGATGTCCACAAAGACATACTTCCCTTATTTGGGAAAGCTGTAGCCTATGTCTCTGGCAGGAAAAGAACATCAGAACAGAGCCACATTATCACCCGGAGTGCTAAAACAGGCGCCCGTTTTAGGCTTTTTACAAAGGTTGCTTATCTGTGCCCTCATTTTTTCTTGGCGGCACTGTGGACTAAGTACAGCTGTCAACATGCTCCCCTGCAGATGAGGAGGTACCCGCAGGAGGCATATCTGCAGAATATGCAGCAGAGGGTGGACTGGAAGGCAGGGCTTCAATGTAGTTGACTATAACATTCTCTGAACTTGACTGGTTCAGTCCCAAAGATGAGCTTGAAAAGCCCTAAAGCAAGCAGAGGATTCTGGGTAATGATGAAGAACCGCAGCTAGTGCTGTGCTGGCCTGTACCAGAATTCCAGTTATATAGCCTTTACCTTACCATTGGTCTCTCCTTCTCATCCTCAGAGGAAATCCAAGATCACTGCCTCCCGCAAACTCATGCTGAAGGTGAGGCTGGTTCCATGGGAGATGAAGGGGCAGCCATATAGACTCAAAGCGGGCAGGAAGGGGAAGGTGGGAGACCGAGCAAGGGTAAGGGAAGAATCCTATCCATTGCCGGAGCTGACTGGTGGCCAGTGACTTGTATCTCTGGTCTCTCCTTGGTGCCTAAGAGGCAGTGGAAATGAGCTTGGGGAGGGGTTTCTTGGTAGAGGGGGAGGGACATGGTTCATTTGGTCTGTTTCTCTCTTTGGAGCACTGTGAGACAGAAGGGATAACAAGGATGGAAGAGGGAGACTGGGTATGCCATGTGAGCCACTTTGTGTGACCTATACAAGGCCTGCCAGCAGCTACTGCACACACTGCGACACAGAGCGATGGTCTCAGACCTGGCCTGCTGAGTCTGGAGGCTCTTCCCCTCACTTGGTGATGCTGGGTAGGGAATATGAGGAACCAGCCTTGATTCAGTGACTTTGTCCTTTGCAGAGCCTGATGCTGGCCAAGGCCAAGGAGTGCTGGGAGCAGGAACATGAGGAGCGAGAAGCCGAGAAGGTGCGCTACCTAGCGGAGCGCATCCCCACGCTGCAGACCAGAGGCCTGTCCCTCAGCGCCCTGCAGGTAAGCCTGGCAGGCTGGGAAGGGACCCTCTGTGGGTCTTGAACAAACACAGCTCTGTAACTTACAAGGTGCCCTCCTACCCCTAGCGCCCAGTCTCACAACACTTGTTGAGAGGGGAGTCCCAGAGGGGAGAATGAACTTAGTTGGGCAGAACCAGGGACTGGCTTCCCGTCAGCTAGTGCAATGGCATGGCCTGAGAGATGGGCAGGATTTAGGAAGGCCATTTCTTCAGAGATCTGCACTCCTTTTAGAGATGAGGCTTTATTGTTTTGATTCAGTTAGCAATCGTTTTAACACCAATGACTGACGAGAAGAGACTAGATATAAATATTTCTACATGTCTCCCATGGAAGTGGCTATTTTAATTGTATTTTTTTTGTTTAACATACAGTTTCTACTATTAGCTTAGTTTAACATATAGTTTAACACATATGTTTAACATATAGTTTTTCATATATGTTTAACATATAGTTTTTCTACTATTAATTTTCTACTATTAACTTATGTTCCTTTTATGATAACACTGTTTTTTAAGAAAACAATTATGGGCCCTTGTGTAGAGGCATGTGTTTGTAGTCTCAATGCTCAGGAGATAGAGGCTGGAGGATTGTGAACTAAAACCTTTTTTATTTAAACTTTTTTTTCTTTTCTTTTCTTTTTTTTTTCGAGACAGGGTTTCTCTGTAGCTTTGAAACCTGTCTAGAACTAGCTTTGTAGACCAGGCTGGCCTCGGACTCACAGAGATCAACCTGCCTCTGCCTCTTGAGTGCTAAGATTAAAGGTGTGCGCCACCACCACCCGGCTTAAAGATTTTTTTTGTTTTGTTTTTTTCAACTTTTCTATGCAATACATTTTGATACTATTTCCTGTCCCCCAGCTCTTCCCAGATTCTTACCTACTGGGCCACTCAACTTTATGTTATTTCTCCCTAAAAAAATAATACAACAAAAAAAGAAAATCAAAACAAAGAGGATAGAAGGAAAGAAGGGAGGGAGAGAGAGGGAGGGAGGGAGGGAGGGAGGGAGGGAGAAAATCAGGAGTGTGGTGGCACTCCTTTTTAATCCCAGCACTCAAAGGCAGGCAGATCTCTGTGAGTTCAAGGTCTACAGAGTGAGCCAGGACAGAGCTACATAGTGAGATCCTGTAAGAGAGAGAGAGAGAGAGAGAGAGAGAGAGAGAGAGAGAGAGAATATGAATAAGATAAAAATCAAAACCAAAAGAAGCATGGAGACCCAGAGTTCATGTTGCCCTGGGCCTGTGTCTTCAAGCACCAGGGACATTCCAGTGCAGAAAGCGGATTCCCCTCACAGTAACATTCATCACAGACAGCTTCTTGGTTAGGGGCGGGGCTCTGTGTCTACTTTCCCTTCTCAGTGCTGGGGTTGAGCATGTGTGGGTCTTGTGTGTCCTCTCACAGTTTCCGTGATTTCATGTAGTGGGGATTGTGAATTCGTGCCTAGGTACCCTCAATGACAGTGTTTTCAGGCCAGCTGGACTACATACTGACATGATCTAAAAATAAAAAGTAAAAACTAAGTTAACATTTACAAAAAGCTGGAAAAAGAAAGCCCACAGCGAGCAGAAGGAGAGCAAAGGCTTCCACTCTGAGGTGTTGCCACGATGGAGCCTCCAGCAGCTCCTGTCGGGATCACACTTCTGAGAAAGCAATGGGCCATAGGGCCAAGCAGGCTCAGTGTAGAGACGGAAAAGGGATGCTGGAGCTGGTGTCCCTTTCCCCTCTCATGACTTCACTCTGTTCCCTCAGGACTTGTGCCGAGAGCTACACGCCAAGGTGGAGGTGGTGGATGAGGAGCGATATGACATTGAGGCCAAATGCCTCCACAACACGAGGGAGGTAAGCGCCAGGGAGGGCGGTAGGAGGCTAGGCCTGGGCCGGGCTGGGCCTGGGCTGGGCGGGCTGGACAGCACATGGCCCAGCCTGTCAGCATGAAGCTTTAGCTTCCCACCCTAGCCCTGCAGGCCGGATATGGGCAATGGGCGGGAAGGATGGTCACATGTGAACAAATTTCCTCCCCACCTGCCAAGTGAGCTCTTCAGGAGTTGCTGCCTTCGCTCTCCCACACAAGTAATCAGATGTCTGTTAATGACATCTTACCTTCCTGAAGGACTTTCATGTGTGGTGCCTCCTTTGATCCTCCCTATATGCCTGTGGGTGATAGGGGGACTATTACCTAACCCTGACTAATGAGGACTCTGAGACTCACAAAGGCTAAGAGCATGCTTGGCTCAAGTCACAGAACAGGGGTCCTAGTATGCACGCTGCTCTCTGGTTCTCCCCTCTCCCGTACTCAGTGCTCCGTCTGCGTGCTGCGGGCCGTGAGAGCATTAGGGTCAGCCAGCAGAGAAAAATGGGGAAAGGCGGGACTTCCGGTGCAGGTGGGCTGCTTCCCTACCCACTTCCTCTTGCCAGGAGGGTGATGTGTGACATCGTTAAACTCCAGAGAATTCCCTCATAGATCACACCCTGGGATTCCCAGGGTCTAGGATGTAGGACTTTTGTACCTGCTGGGTCAGTCTAGGCTCAGCTGCTCTGCAGGCCCCCTGGGCAGGGATTGAGCAGCCAGGCTAAAGATGGAGTGACAGAGGAAAGCAGTCCACACTCCACACAAGGCTTCCCAATGTGAATGGTGGCTTAGTGACTTTTTGTTTATTTGAGGCTTGGTGACAGGGAAGGGGTGAGATTAGCCACTTAGCTTAAATCTGTGAAAGTTCATGGTGACTGTTTGGAAAAGGATAGGTGGTTCTGAGCACCTCGGAGAATCTAGCATGGAGCCTGGGAAACTTGGGGTATGTCTCTAGCTGGAAGCCTAGCAATTGGATCCCAGGAAGAGAGGTCCAGGTCTAGCGTCCCCTCCATAGAGCCTGGCGCTTTCCCACCTACAGATTAAGGACCTGAAGCTGAAGGTCCTGGACCTCCGTGGGAAATTCAAGCGTCCACCCCTGCGCCGGGTCCGTGTCTCAGCCGATGCCATGCTCCGAGCCTTATTGGGCTCCAAGCACAAGGTCTCCATGGACCTACGGGCCAACCTCAAGTCTGTGAAGAAAGACGACACAGAGAAGGTAGGGCCACTCTCCTCAGACTCTTCCTCCTGCCGACTAAGAGCCTTCACCAATTGCTCCTCACACACCTGAGGCGCTCTAGTCAGTCTGTGAACTAGAATATTCTAGAGCCCCCTATGAGGTCCGCATCAGAAGAGGGAAGACGGGCTGCTTCCAATCTGAGGGGAAGACTGGGCTGACTGAGGAGTTCTGTGTCAGTTCAGGGGCGACTATTGCCCCCGTCGCCACGGCTTCTCGTTGTGGCTGTGGCAATATGAGTGTGTAGAAATTGGAGAACTGGGTTCGATTACTTGCCTAGCAAACAGCAGCGTCAAGTTTGCTGGCCTCACAGTGTATGCCCAGAGCTGACAGGCACTGTGAAAAGCGAGTGTGAGAGAACCATCTCCAGCCCAGGAGGCCTAATGGATGAACAGGCTAGACTGCATGCTGACAAAACAGAAACAAGTCGAATGGAGGAGGTGACCCTGAGCTGTGGTGTGTCACACGGGAGGCTGTTATGGGCCTTGGAGGTGAGGCTGGCCTGTGATACACTGGAAATCAGCTCTGTGGCCCGATCACAGCACGCTAGGACCTCCCATCCACACAGCTTCACATTTTCTGTGAAGCCTCAGCATAACCTGTGCCCCTGTCTGGCCAAGGCATCGTCCATCACAGGCTGGGCAGGAGCATCGGTGTTTCTTTGAGGAGGTGGATTCTCTTCCATCTAATGTCTGTTGAGCTCAGGGGCCCTTTGTAGCCCCTGCAGCCTGGTGAGTTTCTAACATGGTTGTGGGTTACCCACAGGAGCGACCAGTGGAGGTGGGAGACTGGAGGAAGAATGTGGAGGCCATGTCTGGCATGGAAGGCCGCAAGAAGATGTTTGATGCTGCCAAGTCCCCGACTTCACAGTAGAGGTGCCTGGGGGGAGGGGCTCGTCCTGGGATCCCTCAGAGTCCCCAGGGCACTCAGGATACATAAGGGATGGGAGGCTGATGCAGTGTGCAGGAGAACCCTTTGTAGCTAGCTCTCTCGGGCGCAGGCGCCCACTCTGGTGCCTTCAGACTCTGGGCATGGCACGCCTTTGTCAGGTCCTCTCACCTGCAAACTGGGGCTTGTACCAAATGGGTCGTCCTGGGCCTGGCAGCTTCCATGTATTCCTAGCTGCAAATGGTTGGATTGGAAACTGTGTGGCCGGGGGACATTAGGAAATCCCGAGGCCGGCAGAGTCTGAGAGTCTAAGGTTAGATGTTCCCCAAGGTCCTTTCAGCTCTAATTCTCCAAGAGTCTCCCATCTTCCACTGTCCTCAGTGACATCCTTTACTTGTATTCACTCAAAGAAGCACCCTAGTCAGTGCTCCAGGGGGACACCAGCTCAGAGACGCTAACCTCCCCCCAAGATTGGGAGGGATTGACAAAGAGGTGGAATTGGGCATTAAAGCCCTGCTGTGGGAGCATGGAAAGGAGGCGCAGTGGGCAGGTTTACAGCAGCACAGAGCAGACAAGGCTCTCTCCCCAGAGCACATCTCAGTTACAGATAGGGGAGGGTTCACAGAGGAAGGGGAAGGGCTGAGGGTGCAAAGGTCAGCAGCAGTGGGAAGAACCCAGTCATGGAAGATGAGAGGACCGGCTCCAGCAGAGGAGCTCTGGAAGTGTGGAGAGAGAGGGAGCTCAGGTTCTGGGCGGAGCAGCTGAGGAGTCCAAAGAGTGGCACAAGGGAGAAGCCCCAGGGATGGTGGGGACCATGCATGCTGTGTGTCAATCAGTGATGCCTAAATGGCTAGGATCTGTGTGATAGCTTCTCCTCTCTGTCCTTGCAGGTTGGCTTGCTGTATGACTCTGGGGTCATGCTTGGGGCGCCTTCCTCCAGTCCCACTCACATATCTTTCTGCCAATGCTGGAGCATCCCTGCTATGTCCTTCCTCCCTCCAGCCTACATGATCACCTTTGGAGCCGGGATGAAATGGCACCCAAAAGAGAAGAGAGATGCGAGTGTCTGAGACCTCAAGCCAGCAGCATGGGCTTCCAGTAACCCACGAGGCACACTGGGGTTATCCAACCAGGCCGAGGGGCCATAGGCTGGAGAGGGAGGCAGAGAGAACGCCTTCCTTACAGTCCCATCTTGCTACCCCCATCTCTGTTGCTACCTGCTGTGTCCACAGACATCACAACACCTCATTAAAAATCCAGGTTCCTGCTGGTTTCCGTAGCTCTGTGGTTAGTGCTCAGAAGAAAGGGGTTTGAAAAACTTCAGCCTTGAGTCAGGAGCTCAGGATCAGAATGGAAGGCTAAGGGTTTGGTGACAGCCTGCTAATGCGCTCCAAGGAATCTTTCTTCCAAGTCACAGTGACATCACACACTCTCAGCATCCAGAATTCTCAGCTCTCTCAAGCCGGGATCTCTGACAGCCCATGTGTCCTAGCCTAGACTCTAGCTGTCAGAGGGGTGTCCCATTTGGTAGCATACCCCTGCTGATTTCCCTAGCCTCCAAAAACGTGGACTATCTGGTGCCTTCCATGCACCTAACCGTTGTGGGCCAACAGGTCAAGGTGCTTCCAGCCTCTCCTGGTCTGCAGGACCCAGGGCTGAGTTTCCTACACTCTAGTCTCTCAGGAAGGACATGCTGCAGTTCCATGTCTGGTCACCAGGGGGCTCCATCCCTCGTCTCTTGGTCTGGCTGCTCAGGTCCTTGCTGTCTGCTCCAAATCACTTCCTCTCTTACTGGAGGTGCAGAAGGCAGAAGTAGGAACACTTCCTGAGTCCTCTGCGTGGACCCTCTGTCCCTTCCCAGAGGACAAGAGTGTGTCAGGGCCCTCAGTTTCTCCTCACACTCCCAGTCAAACACCCCCAAGACTCATTCTTGATCCAAGGTGGTCCTGACTTTTGGCCCAGTTCCTTTTTCTATCTCACTAATGTTTGGGCCCAAAACCTGAGAGGGGCTTAACCCAGGGGAGAGGAGTAGGTGTAATGAGGGACTGTGGACATTCCTATGCTCTTGAATTGCTACCCCACCTCCACTCCCCTTAAAGGAGCAAAGAGCAGCATTCTGGGCCAGAGTGGAACTTGGCTTTTAGGGAGGTGTCAATGGCAGTTCCTGATCTAAGCCTACAGGGAAGTAATTGGTCCCCAGGACTAGTCCCCGAAGAGGCTGAGCTGCCCAGGAGATACCAGGCTCTACCCTCTGATCTCCATGTATTATCTGGTATGAATGCCAATGGCTGGTGCAAAGTACAGTGTTGTTACCTCCTGGGGCACAGTCTGGGGCAGGCATGCTCAGCCTGCCTGTGGCAGCGGGGACCAGCAACGTGGGGTGCATTAGGAAAGGCAGCATCTAGCACAGGGTTTTTGCTACAAGCACATGAGTAGGCAGAGAGTCAGGGGTGTGCAAAGAGCACGCTCACTGTGTGCACATACCTGTAGTCATAGTTACAGAGTTACACATACACAAACAGAGAGAGAGAGAGAGCACGTTGGGGAACCTGACAGGGCTGGTTCATGCCACAGAGCACAGGGTGAGGCTTTGTGCCTGGGCAGCCAAGAAACCCACCCTTCCTTGCCTCACGGGCTCCTCCCAGTTGGCCTGGCTCCAAAGCACGTCTCAATATTTTGTCTCTTCCCAAACCTTTGATAGAACCTGGCCTTAAGTTCCTGAGGCAAATCTCAGTCTGACGGTAGACTATTAACCTAGGGCTTTGACAGACTGGGGTCTCCACCCTGCCCTCTAGAAGTGGGAGACCAGCCCCAATGCTGACTCAAAGCAAACATGGGACACAGAGGGCTGCTAGGAGGTGGGGGTGGGGCTCCCAACACACCTAAGCCTGTGGCCCTCTGGCAAAGGGCAGAGGACCCTTGCAGACAACTCCAGAAGGTCAGCAGCTTTGTTCTGCTTCCGGTGCCCTGAGACATTTCCGTGAGGATGACTAGAGCTCAGACTGATACCCACACTCATCTGGGGAAGACTGAGCCCCTGCATGGAAAGGAGAAGATGGGCTTCAGCAATGGGGGAACTCTGTAAAGGATCCTTTGTTGAGACCTGATTCTTCATGGATGCCCACAGTCCACATGACCGGATATGGCTATAAGCAGGAGTAAGCCCCGGGGCCTCTCCTTGATTGGCAGCTCCCACACAAGACATGTGACCATGTGCCAGGCACTAACTACTTTAGATACATTTAACCTTCACATTTAACACTGTCCCCTTCCCCATGCCCCAGGGAGGCACAGCGCAGGAAGTCTAAGGACTCGCTATAGTCACAAAGCAAGGAGGGAGGCAGAACTTAACCGAAGGAGTCTGCCAGCATCCAGACTCTCATTCACGATTTCCAGGGCACTGTTTGCAGTAATAACAATGACAAATTTACCATGCCAAATGCTGTATCAGAATTTGTCATGCATTCTCAGAAAAGCTTGGAGGTAGAGCTCTAGAAACGGAGCCCTGGAGGGCTTAGGACACTAGGATGTAAGGGGCCAGAGTTTGACAGCTGTGACTTCACAGGGGACCCCCGTCCCACTTGCCTTGGTGCTTTCTCTTTTCTAGGATCAGTCTTTCTTCAACAGAGTGCAACTAGTTACTGCCCAGGAAGGACTCCACAGTAGAATCCTACCTGTATACCATGGTGTTCTCATTCCTACCAAAGGGGAAGCCGTTCTGTGGGAGGCAAGACAGACCCACACGGGCAAAGGGGAGGTCTTCTTCAAATAGTTGGACCTAGGCTGAGGGTAGAGGCCCAAGACCTTCTGGGGGAATGTCTGGTGTGAACAAACCCACAGCAGCTGTGTGGGCATGCCTCTCTCTGCAGCTGGAGATGGCAGGATGTTCCTCCCTCCTGGTTAGGAATGAGCAGGGCAGGATGCCACCTGCTACCACCCTGCCTGTCTTAGAGTTCTCAGGAGACCAGTTGTCTTCCCTTTCTCTCACGAGATGCCTTGTCCCCACTGGTCCCAGGGCCCCAAGCCGGGCGGTGTGTTTGATTGTCACTCAGTGCCTGGCGCACACAGGGCAGATCTGTACTCAGAACTTCTGGGGCTAAAGTGTCATTCTGAAGGAGGGGCCAGGTTAAACGTTAGCCACAATGGCCCCCCGCGAAGTGAGTCACACCCCCCACAGGGCTCTGGGCTGGGCAGCTGTGGGGGCAGTTTTGTTCCAGGTGGGTGACCAAGCTGCTGAAGTCTTGGGACATGTCTCTGGAACTTGTGCAGATGACAGCTTCCTCTCCTGACTCCCTCGGGGTTCTCTTTCCTCAAAATGTTTGCCAGTCTGTGGGGCCTGCACACAGAGAGGGGCAGGGATTCCTTATTCCCAGGATATATGCCCAAACTGACCTGTGGCCCCAGACCCGGAGACTGAGGCAGACAAGATGGACTTTGGTGACCCTGGGCCATTGGCACAGAGTGTTACAGTCAATGTGCAGAAGCATTCAGAAGGAAAGTGACTTCTCAAGGTTGCACGGGACTAGCACACCGCTCCCCTGACTCCCGTCTGCTTGGAAGACTGAGTGAAAGTGTTGGTTTTTCCAGCCAGAGGCTGAGACTGGGAGTCTGTCCATCTCAGGACCCCGCCTGACTCCAGGGCCAGCAAGTGGCCTCCCTCACCGACGGGGCCAGTACAGGCTTGGCGAACCTGGCCCTTTGCTTTGGGTTCAGAAGTATGCCTCCCCTGGGTGACAGGCAGGTGTTTCAACCTTGAGCCCCTGGGGGTAAAGTTGTGTGAATGCCATGGCTGCATAGAGGAAAGGTGAGCCAGGTTATGTGGTGCAGCATGGGGAGCCGGCTGCCACTGGTTAGTGGGGTACACACACTGTGTGGTCTGGTGCTGATGGTCTCCTGAGGATGTCCTCCCGAATGGATATTTGTGATCCTAGTTCATGGGCTGTGTTCTGCTGAGGAGCCACTACTGCAGATGCTTGGGGGTCCCAGAGCTAATGCAGAAAAGGGGAAAGGTGGTGGCTCTTCCAAAGCATGCCTATCTCCAAGTTATTTTAGTATTAAGATTGCCTCTGTGCCCAATTGTTTTCTATTGTCTTCTAAGACAAGGTCTCCTTGTAGACTGGGCTGACCTTGAACTCAGATCCTCCTGAGGCATGGACCACTCTGTCTTCTAATGTTCTTAAGTCACAAATGAAGACACTGGCAACACCACTTCAATAACCAAAAGTCAGGGACCACTGGTCTGGGGTCCTTGGGATGTGGGTGTTGTTCATTTTTTTCCCGCTTCTCCAACAATGCCAAAGGCACAGAGACTGCTCAGTGGAGATGGAAAATGGAGCCAGAACTGAAATGTCAGGGTGCAAAGATCAGCTGATCGGGGCTGGGGATCCCCCAGATTTCCATTCTAGCATTCCTGGAAAAGATGCCCTATGAGTCTTGTGTTTGGGGGATTCCAGAGCCTGGATGTCTGTCGTGGGGTATCTCAGAACCTCAAGGAAGTGAAAAAGAGGGGTGACCTCTTGCCTTATCTTTGGCTGTGAAATGACAGAAAACCTCTGTCCTCGGTCAGGGGCTTCCCACTCACAGTGGGCTTTGCCTTGATGGGTTTTCCTTGTAGGAAGTGACCATCACATGTTGACATTTTAAACACTGTGTATATAAAGAATTACAAAGTGAGCAACCCCTCTCTGCACTGCTTACTTGTTTTTATGGTGCTGTGGCTTGAACTCTTGGGCACGCAGGCAAGACCTCAGCCACTGAACTATGCCCTCACCTCCCAATCGTTCAGTTTCAGATCTAGGATATTGTGAAATACCTTTGAAACCCTTGGGCCCTTCCCTCATCATAACACTGCCTCTCCATGAAGGTAAATAAACATGATATTCAATTTTGTGTTTACAGGGGTCTTCTTTCTCTAGGATCTTGCTTTCCACAATTTCAGTTATCTGTGGTAACTCTGACCCAAAAATACTGAATGGGAAAAAATTTCCAGAAACAAGTAACTCATCCATTTAAAATCATACATTATGCTGAGTAGTGTAATGAACTCTTATGCTGTCCTGCCTAGAAATTGAATTCTCTTTTCCTGTGTGTCCTGGTATAGCTGCTGATTGTTAGCCATGTGGCCACCTCTGTCCCCAGATAAGCTGTGCAATGTCACAGTTCTTGCCTTTAAGTCATCCCTACTTTCTTAATGGCTCCGAAGCACAAAGGTCTTA